AGGTGTATAAAATCAATCAACTAGGCATGCAGACTGCTTCTACAAACATTTGTGAAAGAATGAGTCACTCCCAGGAGCTCAGTGAATTTAACCATGGTACTGTGATATGTTACCACCCGTGCACAAAGACCATCCATGAAATTTCCTTGTTACTAAATATTTCACGGTCAACTGTTAGTGGGATTTTAAGTAACGTGGAAGCAGCTGGAAAAAACAGGCCACGTAAAATGACAGAGAGGGGTCAGTGCATGCTGAAGTGCACAATGTGCAGATGTTGCCAACTGTCTGCAGAGTCAGTAGCTAAAGACCTCTAAACTTAATGTGGCCTTCAGATTAGCACAACAACATTGTGCAGAGAGCTTCATGGAATGGGTTTCCATGGCCGAGCAGCTGCATCCAAGCCTTACATCACCAAATGCAATGCAAAGCATCGGATGCAGTGGTGTAAAGCACGCCACCACTGGACATGAAGTGAAGTGATGAATCGTGCTTCACTTTCTGGCAATCTGATGGACATGTCTGGGTTTGGTGGTTGCCAGAGGAATGGTACTTACCTGACTGCATTGTGCCAAGTGTAAAGTTTGGTGGAGGGGGGATTATGGTGTGGGGTTGTTTTTCAAGGGTTGGGCGTGGCCCCTTAGTGCCAGTCAAGGGAACTCTTAAGGTGTTAAACATGTTGGACAATTTCATGCTCCCATCTTTGTGGGAACAGTTTGGGGATGGCCCCTTCCTGTTCCAACATGACTGTGCACCAGTGTGCAGAAAGCAAGGTCCATAAAGACATAGATGAGTGAGTTTGGTGTGGGAGAACTTGACTGGCCTGCACAGAGTCCTTACCGCCACCTGATAGAACACCTTTGGGATGAATTAGAGAGGAGACTGCAAGCCAGGGTTTATCGTCCGACATCAGTGCCTGACCTCACAATTGCGCTTCTGGAAGAATGGTCAAAAATTCCCATAGACACACTCCTAAACCTTGTGGACAGCCTTCCCAGAAGAGTTGAAGCTGTTATAGCTGCAAAGGGTGGGCCAACTCAATAGTGAACTCTATTGACTAAGACTGGGATGCCATTAAAGTTCATGTGTGTGTAAAGCCAGGTATCCCAATACTTTTGGCAATATAGCGTGTGTATATATGCTGTATATACTGCACATACATACCCAGCAAAGGCCACCAATGCAACGGTAGAATAGGGGGACCACGAAATCACATAAAGAAGGATGACAATAAGTGCAATCTTTGCCATCTTCCACTCATTCTTCATTTTCTGATACTGTTTATGAGATTCCTTGTTTTCATCAGAGCCAATTTTCTGCACAGCCCTGTTATAGACAAACATTGAATTTAACAAAAGTCCACTACAGGCACATAAAAGCAGAAGTTACGTTTGAAGTTGCTGTCTTTACACAGCTTGGTGTTTCTTGACCCCTACAGATTACAGAAGCAATGGAGACAGGATAAAAATGATCAGTAAATGTTCTTAATGTCTGATTCTGTGCACTTGATGTTTCAATGTGTTTGTCAACTGCGCACATTTTGGCAGTAGGTTACAATTTGAGTGATTTTCTGTTTTTTGTATTGTAGTAATAGATAGTTTGAAAAACACAGAACCAGGACATTACAACTGACAAATGTATTTTCCTGTTACAGCTGTAAAATGTCTGGAATGTTTTTCACTTTACATTTTTATAATAAAATGTTGAGTTTTAAATAGTGTTCTGCCATAAGCGTTGGTATCGCTTGTGACATTATTGTGGACTGTGACTTCACAGGCTCTTGTAGGGTAGTTAGCAAGGACCCAGTGTGGTAACTTAGGGCTTGTATCAGGCAATGGATGCAGAGATGCATCTATTGTTACTTTTCTGGCCGCTGCCCAGGCACTCCTTCTGGGGGCCCACAAGGTGAAGCATGCAAAATAAATAAATGCTGCACCATCACAACTGGTGAAACACCACAAGGAATTTTCATTTTGCAAATGCAAAGTAAATCAGGTCTTTAGCTTGGGTCTAACCTACAAACTCATAATATTGAAAGATTTAAAGTTGAATTCAATTTATGGATTTTATTGCATAGTTACAGTACATTGGTCCAGCTTGGACCAAGCAAGTATGCATTTGCCATATGTGTGTGACCACTGTAGAAGTGGAGCTATTACAGTGATCACTGTTATCTTCTGAGTCCTGTGCCAAGAAGCTGCCCTGCTGCCTAGTAACCACACAGGGATGCTGGCTTGGCATGGGTGCCTTTCATATTTTTATCAATGAATGCAAGGTGTTCTCTGATTGGATGAGGTGGGGAAGTTGGGCAGTGAAATCACAATCTCCACCTAGTCCAATCAGAGAATGTTTTGCCTTCATGGGACCCGTAAGAGCAGAGATCACTGTAATAGCTACAATTATTACAATGGGCAGCACAGTGGCTAGCACTTCCACTTAGCAGCACTAGGATTGTTAGCTCGAATCCTAGCCACGGCCCCACCTGCCTGAAGTTTGCATGTGCTCCTTGTGCCTGGGTGGATTTCCTCCCACACTCCAAAGGTATGCCGGTAGGTTAATTGGCTCCTGTCTAAATTGGCCCTAGTGTATAAATGTGAGTTAGGGACCTTAGATTTTAAGCACTTTGAGGGCAGGGACTGATGTGAATGTACAATATATATGTAAAGCGCTGTGTAAATTGACAGCGCTCTATAAGTACCTGAAATGAATAAAAATAAAATGATTCTATGCTTCCACAGCAGCTTACAGGTACGGCATATGCATACTTACTTTGGTCCAAGCTGGACCATTGTAACTATGGAATAAAATCCATACCTGGAGTTCAGCTTTAGCCACTTGAGAGGGATCTCCTACTTACGTTAGAGATTTGTAGTAGCCCAGTCATGCTGCTAAAATTGTGAACGGTTAATCTTTAGGAACATCAAATGATTGCTAACCAGATAGAAGATCTGGCTTCCTATGTCGTAAGTTACATCAGTTGCATGCCTTAGTGATTGTGATTGTCTTGCATGATCAAACAGTGGTCCATTGCTCCCAACAAGATGCTTCTGCTTGTGTAACTTACTTCATAGGGTGCCATTTTGTTCTTTCAGCTAACAGCTGCTACTCCTAGTGATAAATTGCTATTGATTTTAGTAATGCTATTTAGCTAATAAAAATCTCCCATATAGCCTTAGCCTAAATAAGTGACTGCCAGAAAATAGTAAAAGTGGTTCTAAAGGCTGAATGTTTATTACTGTCATGCATTCTACTCTAAAAAACCTTCAGTGTTCAGCTCTCCGCTCAGCCCCCCAATACTTAATTACCTGAGCCTGATTGCGATCCAGCGCTATGTACAAGAGAAGCAGCTCTCCCAAGTCTCTCCCTCCTCAATGGTTGGGATTCGGCTTGGACACAGCTGGGACACAGCAGCGGGAGCCAATGTTAAGTAGTAAGGAGAGGAGCCAGTGAGGAGGGAGTGGAGCCTAGCCTTGCTCTGTGTGCGAGCACGGACAAGCAGGGAGAAGGGGCCAGAAGTGTGTGGGGGGGGGGGGAAATCGGGGTAAGTTTAACATGTTTGTTGTGTTTTTTTTTTGTTTGTTTTTTTTTTTTTTAAGTTAACCTTTAGTATCTCTTTAAATCATAGAAGAAGAAGAAGAAGGTCATCTCTGAAGCTTAAAACTAACCATACACTAGTAGAATATTGTTTGAAAACTTTTGAAGAATTTGTTTGTTTTACTGTTAGTGGGATCAAATCAACGTTTGTTTTCAGCACTCTTAGGCTTTGTTTACACTGATAAAAAGCAACAATAGGAAGCACAGATTGGGTTTTGTCCTTTCATCTTCCTGTAGAGGTGGTAAAAATCTTTGGGACAGTCCTCCAAAATTTGGAAGACTGGGACAGGACTGTAAGGTTCTTTGGGACCAACATGCACTCAAAATATATAAGAAGGCCTGTGACATTGTAACCAACAATACTCTTCATGTCTCTGCTTTTTCATCCAGTGCATGTTTACGGGTCCCATAAGCAGCATTTGTGATATATAAATTAAGATGCACAATGCGTGTATTTTAAATTCATTTAAGTGCTTCTCAATACCAGGCCATTTCCAGGAATCTTTGGCTATTCCCCCATTCCCTTCATGTTAATAAATGTTTCCAATGCATTTCTATAGACTCTTAACCCAGCTGAGAACAATGAAGGGGTGCAACTGTCAGGATCTGGATTGCATGCTGGTGGCACTGTGGTTCCCTGGTTGAAGGGTTGTAATTCTAGTGTCCAGCTATGGGTGCCTCTCAGCAGTCTCCAGTAATCAGTCTCATGCTGGCTGCTGGGTGGATATATACTGTATGTCCTCGTCTACCATTACAAGTTACATGAGTGTTTTTGCTTTGCTTTCTGCCAGATACTGTATGCTGTGTTAACCTGTTCCTGATCTTTATCCATATCTTGCTCCTGCCCTGTACCTTGCACCCTGTATCCTGCTGCTAATACCTGCTCCCCAGTTTTGGTTCCCCCTTCCCATCTGTTCCTTGCACCTCCAAATTTTCCCTACTTTTCTATGTTCCCCATTTTGTAAATATTGTATATAGTTACAGTAGCTGTTTTCTGTTTGTTAGGTTTATTGGTCAAGTATTCTGTCACTGGGATTTTTGTTCACATAATTTTTTTTTTTTTCTGTGTTGGTGTTTGGATGAATTTTGTTTCACTGTAAATGAATCTCACTTAAAGCATACACAGTCCGGGACAAGTTTCCTGAGTGTAGCCACTCAGATCTGGCCATCGCTGCCGCTGATTCCTTACAGCAACACAATCTGTGCTTGCTAGTAAATTAGGTGATTCCCTTGGAAGCAAATTGAATTTACTATAACTGATGGTTATGACACCCACATTTTACAATTGAGATTATTTCTACAGGTGAAAAAAGTTTTTGTTAGGGGTCATATGCGCTATGCTGGATGCAACTATAAAGAACAAAGTATCTAAGAGGGATTCAGAAGTGAAAATATTGAGGTGTATTAACACCTGCTTTAGAGATTGATATATGTGAGTTATGTGCTTTATGTTAGTTACACTCAGCTGCACATGTACTGTGGCATAGGATGCTGGAAACATTTCAACCTTGTTTTAAGTATTAAACATATATCTTCTAGTTCACAGAGCACAGCAGGTTCCCAGCTGGCTTATGTATTTCAGGAGACAGGAGGATTGAGCAGTTCACATTTCATTGGTTTGAAGCTCCTGGTAATTCTTTAGCTTTATATAATGGTTTTGTTTTACCACTGTACATGTGTTAAGTCAATCACCTGTTAGTGTTCTTGATGGCCTTAAATATAAAGATGTAGCAGTAGATTATAACGAAAAGAGGGATGAAGAAGACAAAGCAGAAGAGGAGCATGGTGTAGGCTCTAACAGAGGGTGTGAAGGTCATATAGTCCCATGTGCACGATGTCATGAGGCCTTCAGGCACATAAGCACCTAGAAAATAGAAAAGTCACATTATATAGAAAACATTCTGTTACTGTGAAATGGATAGAACACTTGCCCCCCAGAGGATTTCCCCTCCTTCCTGACCAGGCCATTTTTTGCCTTACTGCATTACTTTAACTGATAATTGCGCTGTCATGCAACGCTGCACCCAAATGAAATTTATGCCCTTTTTTTCCACAAATAGAGCTTTCTTTTGGTGGTCTTTGATTGCCTGTGCAGTTTTAATTTTTTGTGCTATAAACAAAAAAAACGCCGACAATTTTGAGAAAAAAATCAACATTTTTAACTTTTTGCTGTTAGACATGTCCAATAAAAAAATTTAAAAAATCAAATCAAACAAATGTCCTTCAAAAGTAATTTTGTTTGGTTTTATAAATGGACATCAACTTGACCCCACTAATGATTAGAAAATCAAACAAATCTTCCTAAAATGAAAAGTTTTGGACAGAATTCTTCTAGAGTATGGGCGGCTTTAATCTGTTTAAAGAGTGAGTTTACATCCAAAATGTAGATAATCTTGAGAAAAATGAGAAAACAGAAACATATTTAAAGTACAATATGTGTAAACATGAACAATGAATTTCTCTTATTTTCTTCCTTTCGTGTGATAAACATACCACTGAAACCATTTTATATGTTGGATAAATGTAAAAACAAAATATTTGTTGATTTGCCAGAAATAAATTGTCCTGAGCACTCTTCGGTGTTATCGTTAACAATGTTACTAGGAAGTATGTTAAGACTACAGAACAACTCCCACGAAGTTATGTAAACAAGGATATGGGTGGTGTCTGTAGTTCTGTGAACAATAGGGTGACAACACTACTCTAGGGACACAGCACTAATAGTGTGAATGAGGCTTGTCATTTTAGAACATCCTGTGTGCTATTTGCAGGATCATATAAAAATAAAGGAAAATTCCTGAAAAAGACAAAAGTAATGCAGCCACTGTGTTGAACTATTGATACATGTTTTGGTTTTTTGGGAAACTTTTATTAAACTATTATAGAGATTCAGATGTTCAAATAAACTTAAAGCAACCGTAAAAGCATTTACTTTAATGCATTCTCTGCAAAATCTTCCATGTTCAGCTCTCCACCAGTCCCCCCCCATATAATTTCCTGTGTCTTAACTCGATCTAGTGCTATGCCGAAAGAAGCAGTGCTGCTCCCTCTCCCTCTCCACACAGGACTTATAAGCAGGAGCCAATGTGAGGAGGGAGTTGGGGAAGGGCTGAGCCTCACTTTGTGTGTCTACAGATGCACGCAGCCTGGCTTAGGATTGAACTCGCATGAGTGGCCACCAAGCAAGCAGCTTGTAATTGGGCACTCAGAAGGGAAGAGGAGCCAGGAGCACTGCTGGGGGACCCCAGAAGAGGAGAAAAGGGACTGCTCTGTGTAATACCATTGCACAGAGGTGGTAAGTATAACGTGTATTATTCTAGAGGAAAAAAAATTAAGCTTTACAATCACTTTAAGTAACATTTGACTTAAATTCGTCACCTTCCCCCTCAGTGGTTTCAAATCAACATGAGAAAATATTTGTTTAAGAATTAGAAGAGGTATTCAACATCTCATGTCTGTTGAGAGAGGAGTTTGTTTGTATAACAGGAGCTCTGTGCAAAGTAATGCTCTACTCATGTCAACTGGCCACTCATGGTGTGCTATCTAGCTGAATGGCACCAAGATGGTCACACTAAAGTTCCAACTCCATGCCACCGTCTCACTTCCTGGTTGTTGGATGCACTACCGGTGAACACCAGCACACAGCTGATGCCTGCCTTTTATGCATATAATGCTTCTTGTGCATACATTTTATTCCCTACAGCTTACAAAGAAGCCAGACTACAAGCCTGATTTTGATTTCAGCTAAATTGTGGATCTGAAAACCAAAAGCCCAAAAATAATTGGATCATTTTAGTTGGTAACTTTTGAGAAATATTAAAGGTTTGCTTTTAAATGTTGTAAATACACTAGAATAAACACCCTGTATAATACAGCTAATAGAATGTTACGGCTATAATTATATTTTGTTTCTTTATCGAACATCATGGGACACAGAGCAGGCTATTTATCACTATGTGGGTTATAGGCCACCTAGTATAGGTAAATGGACACTGGCCAACCAAGTTCTCCCCTATATAACCCCTCTGATACAGGACGTACCTCAGTTTCTTCACCAGTGTCTGTAAGGTGGATGGTCACTTAAAGTGTTGCTGTGCTCTTGGAGCATACCTGAAAGTCCAGGATGGTTCCATTAGAGAATCAGGGACTTTAATCAGATCCATTCGGAATGCTATGAACTAAAATGGATGGTACCCGAGCCTCCCTGGATAAGGAGAAGAATCCTCAAGGTTTTGCCTGTAATGCAGCCTTACGGTGCTGGACCCTGCCTAGATGGAACCCTGTGCAGTTTTAAATCTGACCAAGGTGCTTCCAGCGGGGTGCTATATGGAGCCAAGGCAGTAGCCCCTCAGCATGGTAGCATGAGTCCTTGAAGGTCTGTATGACCATGACCACCATGATGGGTCAAGGTTGGTGCCGGAAGTCAGGGACCTGCAACGGTGCTGGTAAGATATCTCCTTTTTTTTTCTCTCTGTAAGGAGAAACAAACAAAGCTCTAAATTGGAGGGAAAAGGAGAGGTGTTGTGACGCTGAGTTTCCGCCAGGAGGAGTGCTCACTTTTCCCAAGATGTGCTTGCTCTTTTTGTTTTCGACCACTAGAGGGAGTGAGGCTGGAAACGGAAGTCGGCCATATTTTGTTTATCTGGAAACCAGGACACACATGGGCTGCTGCTATTGAGAAATCTCCTGTGGCTGAGACATAAAGCAGACTATTCTGTAGGGGCACGTAAATACTCCCCTGAGGGGGAAGCGTGGACCAGTCAGTTAGGAGCCACCCTAGGTGGCTCATAAGGCAACAATTTAATTGCGTTTTTCAGCACACTACTTGCATAGCTTTATCATTGTGATTTGTGTCACTAGTGGAGGTGCACAGGTTTTCGCTATCTGAAGTAATGTCTTCCAGAAAGCAGAATGGAGGAGGTGCAGCAGGAAAGGGCACTAATGTACCACCACCAGGTCCTGAAGAACCTAGGTGAAGGTCCACTGTAATATCTACTCCTGACAGGCCAGAAACTACTGGGCAGTCTGAGCCACTGTGTCTATCTGGCATTGTGGCTACTACTGGGGATTCTGCCTCAGCATATGAAACCAAGGATGATCTTGCTTCAGCCTTAGCGGGTTTAGAAGATATGATTGCTGGGATGATTGCAGTACTAGGTTCTCAGGGGACTAAGAAGCGGCATAGATCCCCATCTCTAAAACCACCAATCCTGGAGCAGGAATGGGTGGAGTCTGAGGATGAAGAAGAGCTGGAGTAAGGTCAGACAGTAGAATTTCTGTTTGAGGAGTCACAGCCTGAGAAGAATCAGGAGGTCTATGCTTCCCAGTCTTAGAGATTTTTAGTCCAAGACCTCACTGATATGGTACGGTCTGGATTCAGGCTACCTCTGATAGAAACCTCTGTGGTTACTTATTCTTCCCTGGGCTCTTTGAAGCATTCAGAGTATTCAGGCCTTTCCTGTGCATCCTCTTCTGGAGCAAATTATGTATGCTGACTGGGATCACCCAGAGAGGGTATTTGTTCCACCAAAGAGGTTTTATTTCTTGTACCCCATGTAACAAAAGTTTACGTGTTAAGAAATGGGGTATTCCTGTAGTGGATGAAGCTGTTTCATCCCTGAATAAATCTTTAACATGTCCTGTGGACAATGTACAGGTTTTCATGGACCCAGCAGATAAGAAGCTAGAGTCTCTCCTTAAGACCTCCTTTTCCCTGGAAGGTTCTGCCACACAGCCTGCTGTGGCAGCTATTGGCATTTGTCAGAGTCTCTGACCATGACAAGTAATGGATTGGAAGACCATCAGTGCAGGGGGGAATGCTTGGCTGAGGATTTGGAGAATCCTCTGTGTGCTTTGTGTTTCGCGCTTAATGTTCTTAAGGATTCAATTCAGCAAATTTCTCACTTGGCCCTCTTATCAGTGCACATGCACATGGTTTTGTGGCTGAAGAGTTGGTCAGCAGAACTGCCATGCAAAAAATTGTTGGCAGGTTTTCTCTTTCATGGGGAACGGCTGTTTGGGGAAGATTTGGACAAATATATCCAAAAGATTTCAGGGGTAAAAGTACTCTTTACCCTCTAAGAGGAAATCCAAACGCCCTTCTTTTTAAGGTGTCAGGCGCTTCGGTTGCTGTGCCCTCATCTACCAGGCAGTTGTTTTGCCCCACACAGGTCCCAGCCTCCAGGGGTAGATCTCAGAATCAAAACCCAAGAAGACCCTGAGTGCAAAAGTAATCTAAGACAGATCCAACATCTGCCTCCTTATGAAAGGGTGCTACCATTTGTTTGGGTGGGGGGGAAGGCTTTTGAATCTTGTGGCTCTTATCCAAGACAAATGGGCCATTTTTCCACAATTTCTCTTCGGTACAGACTAGAATTTCAGGTATTTCCCTCTGCCCAGTTTTGTAAGATCAAATGTGCCAATGAATCCAGAGAAAAGAAGAGTTTTTATTTCAGGCACTCGATTGCATATTGGCTCAAAGACTAATCACGGAGGTTCCAGCTGGTGAAAGGTTTAAGGGGTTTTATTCAAACCTGTTTACAGTCCCAAAGCCAAATGGGGATGAAAGGCCCATTTTGGACCTCAAAGGGCTAAATCAGTTCCTAAATGTCTGATCCTTTCATATGGAAACGGTTCAGTCAGTAGTGGACTCCCTACAGGAGGGAGATTTTTTAGCGTCCATAGACATCAAGGATGCATACTTGTATGTACAAATATTCATCCCTCACCAAAGATTTCTGCGGTTTGCAGTAGGGGCTCAGCATTTCCAGTTCATAGCACTATCATTTGGGCTGGCCCAGAGTTTTCACAAACATTCTTGCTCCGGAGTTGAGGCTACTCAGAACTTGGAGTAACGGTCACAGG